GCCCAGCCAGACTGCGGCACACCTAGAGGCATTTACCACTGAGTTATGACCCCAGCCCTTTTCATTTTGAGACAGAGTCTCACTAAATTGCTGAGGCTGACCTCCAACTTGTGATCCTCCTGCTTCAGCCTCCCAAATTCCTGGGATTACAGGCGTGCAGCCAAGCCTACTTTCTGCTGACAGACTTCGGAAGGCCTGTCTTCGGTCTCTTGTTTTCTCCACAGGGTAGCAGAGGAGATTCACAGCATTTTTTAAAAATATTTTTTTAAATTTGTTTTTAATATTTATTTTTTAGTTTTTGGCGGACACAACATCTTTGTTTGTATGTGGCGCTGAGGAACCCGGGCCGCATGCATGCCAGGCGAGCGCGCTACCGCTTGAGCCACATCCCCAGCCTCAGATTCACAGCATTTTTCACTTCTGAAGTCTCTTTGGTGCTTATAGCCAGCAGACTGATGCCCAGTGGGCACTCGGACATGCGCCCCAAGGCCTGGGCCGCTAGAGCTGGGGATCAGGCTGAGTTCTAGCATAAAGTGCACTCCCTGGTCCCACAGCAGCGGCGCCTGGTGTAGCCGCATCTCCATTTGGCCAGTGAAGTGGTGTGGTCAACCTGGCTGCCAGCCGTTCACAGATTTCTAAAGTGGATGTATAAATCCTGCCCATCACAGTGCCAGCAGCCTCTGTCAGTCATAGGTGGCAGAGAGAAATGTGGCTGTGCCTGCTGCAGGCCAACTGGAGCAGGTAAACCCTTGGCAGGAGGCTGGAGGTCAGGATGTCCTGCCAACTCAGAGGTGCTCACATTGCCAATCCTCAACCCAGCAGAATCCTCCCGCAGCCGGTTTTCTCGGGGTGCCGGGTTGGGTGCTGTAGGAATTTCAGTGCCCGTAAACCTTCCTGTTCTAGATTTCAGGGTCCTTCATCAGCTCCTGGAAACTTGAGCTCTGTCCTACTTCTGAAGCTCCTTCCCCTGACTTCATTCTCCCCATCCTCTGGGTGGTGCTCTGGTTGAACTATCTTTTTCTTGCTGACTGCCTTCAGGTGGATCCTGGGGTAGGTCCCCGAGGAAGCTCTGCAGGGACATACTTGTCTTTGTTCAGGCAGCGGGTCACATAGTGCCCTCTGCCTGGAGGTCACCTGTACCTATACCTATTGAGGAGCCTGGGGAGGAAGTCAGGATTGGCAGAGGGTTTTTTGTTTTGTTTTTTGTACCATGGATTGAACCCAGGAGTGCTTAATCACTGAGCCACATCCCCAGCCCTTTAAAATATTTTATTAGATAAAGGGTCTTGCTAGGTTGCTGAGGCTGGGTTTGTACTCTCAATCCTCCTGCCTTAGCCTCCCGAGTTGCTATGATTACAGGTGTTCACCACCCCGTACCTGGCTACTTTTTAAGACAGAGTCTCCCTAAGTTACCTAGGGCCTTGCTAAATTGCTGAGGCTGGCTTTAAACTTTAAGCAGCTGGGATTACAGGTATGTAGCATTGCACCCTGTAGCTGAGGTTCTTTTGGGAGAAGGGGGCCACAGAATGGTGACTTGGTAATGCTTCAACTGGGAAGGATCACCTGAGTCTGGCTTCTTGGGCCTCTGTCAGATCCAAAGGACAGGTTTGAGATATTCCTTCCTGGTCCAGCTTGCTTTCTGGGAGGCCAGAACCCTGGGGAGCCCTAGAGTGTTCCAACAGAGGAACTGAAGGGGCAATGTGGCAGTGGGCAGGGGAGGGTCAGGGTGGGCAGCAGGAAGCCTGGTTTCCAGCTTATCAGCTGGTGCTTCCAGAGGGCTACCACCCCCCACGTCCCCCCAGGTGAATTCTCAGGTCAGACTCCAGGGCTCCTGCTCATCACAAAGGAGAGACTAAGGATGTGGTCCTGGCCTTGAGTGCTGAGGTCACTGAGGGCCTTTGGTCCACTTTTGTCTTTCTCATCATCGTTGTCTTCTCTGTTCTATGCCTGGCTCTTCCCCTGAAATTTTGGAAGGATGTGCTTTCAGTTAAAATCCAAAGGAGGGCTGGGGCTGGGGCCCCGAGGTAGAGCGCTTGCCTAGCATGTGTGAGGCCCTGGGCTCGAGCCTCAGCACCACATAAAAATAAAAAGGTACTGTGTCCACCTACAACTAAAAAAAAAAAAAATCCAAAGGAGAGCCAGGCACTGCAGCACATGCCTGTCACCCTAGGGACTCAGGAGGCTGAGGCAGGAGACCCCAAGTTCAAGACCAGCCTTGGCAACTTAGTGAGACCCTCTCTCTTAAAATTTGAAAAAAAAAAAAAAAAAAAAAAAGGTCTGGGTACCAAATGGACTTTAAATCAACATACTATAGTAACACAGCTACATCAATTCACAGTAGCTAAGCTATGGAACCAACCCAGGGGCCCTCAACAGATGAATGGAGAATATGTGGTGTATAGATACACAATGGAATATTACCCAGGCATAAAGAATGAAATTATGGCATTTGCTGGTAAATGGATGGAATTGAAGACTATCATGCTAAGTGAAATAAGCCAATCCCCCAAACCAAAGGCAAAATGTTCTAATATGTGGATGCTAACATGCAATAAGATGGGGGGATAACAGAAGTTCATCGTATTAAACAAAGGAGAATAAAGGGAAGGGAGAAAAGATGGGAATAGAAGAGAAAAAAGAATCTGACATAACATTCCTATGTTCATGTACGAACACACGACCAGTGTAAACCCACAACTCCACAATGACAAGAATGGTAAGTTATACTCCACGTATGAAGAATGTCAAAGTATACTTTACTGTCATGTATCATATCTAAAGAGAAAAATAGACATCTTCAACTAAAAAAAAAAAAAAAAAGACAAAAATAGGGGTGGGGATACAGTCCAGTGGTCAAGTGCCCCTGGGTTCAATTCCCAGTACAGGAAAACAAAAACAAAAACCCAAAGGAGAGATTCAGGACATTTGGGGGAACCCCTTTCACCCAAGACTCTTCCTGATAGAATTTTTGCTGTGTCCCCTTCTTGCCCCCGGGTGTTTTTTCTTGAGCTGATAATAGCCTTACAGCGAGGGTACATAAATTAATGTAATATGTCCAACCTACGTGTAAAGTGAATACCCTAGGGGGGTCTCCTGCAGGCCTCAGCTGTCAGTCTCGGGCCCTGACCCAACACAGGCTCACAATGGGCCTGCTGCCCTCGTGGGTCCCAGAGCCATCTCAGACCTCTCTCCACCTCTGGGTGTCATTCTTACCTGCTACAGATTTCCTCTCATCTTTTCCCTCTTGCTCCTGAGCCACATGTCAGGGCCCCCAGCAGGCCTGGTGGGGTCTGCAGCCTGGGTGTGGAAGAGGTCCGAAAGCCCACTCAGGAAGGAGTGGAAGCCTCCACCCCTTTCCCTGCTGGGTCCACACTGCCACCCGTAGTGAACAGGGTGCAGTCAGGTGGCACCTGGACCATTCTCTCAATGGCATTTCCAGTTAAAACCTTAATAAAGAAGTCTGGACCGTAGAGATCCCTTGTAAGAGGTTAAAGGGTGGTTTTGGGGAAAGGTCGAGAAATCAAGAGGTCAAGTGTCTGTCAATGAAATTTGGGGAAGAGGAGAGCAAGAGGTGAGTCCCTAGAGGACCCCAGGAAAATGGCGCTCGGGCCCTTTTGCCCTTCCCATGCTCATTGGACAATCAATGAGAGGTGGGCCTGCAGTGGTACCAGGGGTAGCACCAGGCCAGGCCCCCTTCAGGTTCTGGTCTCTTTGGACCCCTTGCTTCCCTCCAACGCCTGCCCCACTTCCAGAGGCTCTGTGGGCTGCATTCCTGGGGGGCCTAAAAAGGCCATAGGAAGCCTGAGACACTGCCATTAAGACTTTAGGCAGTGTCAAGTGGGTAGCTGGGATCTTGCCCCGCTGTCATCTCACTAGAGTTCTAGGAATCATCCTGTGTGCTCTGCTTATTAAAACCACCCAAATTACAAAGGCCAAGCCCTTCAGTAATCAGGCTCCAGGACAACCACACACTGAGACCTCTCCTACCCTGGACACCCACTGCTCCTCCCCCTAGTTCACATACAAACACCCGACCAGTGTAACCCCATGACCACAAGAATGGTAAGTTATACTCCGTGTATGCAGAACGTCAAAGTACTCTGTTATAAGCTGTCTCCTCGTTCTATGAACTGGGAATATCATCCCCCCCTTGTCTTTACATTTTCCATGTTCCCAATGTTCTTCTATGAAACAATGCCTTGCTGGCCTCAAAGCCTTCAGCAGATGGCAGCCAAGTGGGTGAAAGCAGCCAGGCATACCCATCCTACTCTTCCTGGGGCACTTACCTTGGACTGAGGATGGCAGTGGGGACAGGTCCCGGGACAATTAGATAACTGCAATGAACAGCCAGTGAGGAGCTCCTAGGGCAGAGCTTCCAGTGCCTCTCCCTGGGGGAGGAATTCCTTTGTGAGTTAAGAGGCCCAGAAAAATGGGACCTGGGCTACAGTGGCCACCTCTTTGCTAAGGCCTTCAATTAAGCATCAGCCTCCTCTACGGGGAGGGGGACCCCAACATCCAGCTCTTCTTGCTGCTTGTGCTTCTGCACTAGAAAAGACGAAGGAGCCAAGCTAGGGGATTTAACTTTGCCTAGTCACTATTCAATTTCTCTGGGTTCCTCGGATGTCCCATCTCAAACAGGTAAGAATCCAAGTTCAGGTTGTCATGACCAAAATGTCCCTCCAGGATCCTAATGTGTAGGATGCCACACAGCAGCTCAATCAATGGCAAGGGGCTTATTGTGGGTGGCCAAACAAGGCAAATTATGTTAGGGTCCAAGGACTATCTCCATTTAGGTTCCCATAGCCAGTTCATTACTTTATAAGTGGATCGAAGGAGGGCAAAAACTTTCACCCTCTGCCTCAAAGTCACCCTCACCTCCCCCACAACCAAGAATTTTAATACGACCAGGAATGATTCTCAACTACACAAGGGGTACATTAAGATAACATTAAAAGAGCTACAGCACCTCAGGAGCCCAACAAATAGAGAGAGAGTCCTGGTTGGATTTGAGAGAACAATTTGTTATAATGAACCAGAAATACAGGATTCCACTGAAACTGGGAACAGTTGACAGAATATGGTTGAACTTAAACCTTCAAGAGAAAGAAGAGGATCAAATAAAGCCAACAATGGAGAAGCCCAACAGTGGCCTGGGACAAACATGATAACTGCATTCTGGCACGGGCAGCTCCTGATCCTTTCCAGTGGTGGTCTCCCTACTGCCCCATTCCTCTCCCTGTGCCGTGTGAGTCAAACCAAAGGGCTTCTTCCTCTCGATTGCAGGTGTAAGGCAGCCCATCCCTCTGGATATGATACAAAGCCACCAAGAGGCAAGCTCAAAAATCTCATCTGCGGGTAGAAAATACACGTATCCAATCCAGCATGCTGGTTATCAATGATGTGGTATCCATGCACCTGGTAGCAACTTCAGTCAAAGCAGATACCATGGTAACCTGTTATGTGTCCCTATAGCAATGTCAATGTTCCCAATTTACTACATCATTAACAATGCAGCAAAACGTTATTTTTCAGCTCCAGATTTTCTTAACACTTCTAAGAGGCTATTAAATAGGATGTACAACAGAATTCTATCTCAGAAACCAAGGCATCAAGGAGGAAAACTGGCTCTTTCTGGAACTTTTTGTGGGGGCACAGAGAATGTCAGTGTATGATATAGGTGAAGGGAGGCAGAGGTAGGCAAAGTGTTCTACCCACAAGGCCAACACATTCATCTTCAAAGTCTGGGTGAAGGGAAGAGGAAAACAAAACAAACAAAAAAACCCCAACTAAATCAAAGGAAAAAAAGAGTTTCATACAACACAGTATCAAAAAGTAAAAGGAACACACTAAATGCACAAACTGGTGACAGGTGAGTCCACAGCCTATTGAGATAGGTCCTTCCAGCATCAATCAGTTTCTTCTCATCTGTTATCTCAAGGTTATTTACAGATGTGGTGACTTAACAAGAGTCTCTCACAGAAGGACAGGCAGGCAGGCTTCAATCGTTGGTTTCTGGATCTGTCTGTGCCATGTAGGCATCCAACTCGGCATCTAGGTGTCCTTTAGTTTTCGACATGTACGCATCCAACTGGTTGTCCAGCTGCTCCTTGGTCAATACAGGGCGAGTGAGGGCACCTCTTCCCCTTCCACGGCCTCGGCCTCGGCCTCCAAAGCCCCCTCTTCCCCGACCTATCATGCCCCGACCTGGCCCAAGGAGGGGAAGAAAAAAAGACAGTTACAAGTAGGTTTAATGGGAGCTACGTAAATGCCCCTTAGAGCAGTGGGGCCTAGCTGAGAAAGCTGAAGGGCAGGGCAGAGAGGAGGAGAAATCTGGAGAAACAAGAAACACACTGGATAGAAAGCAACACATGGAAAGCACATATAATGAATCCCTTATTACATGCTCCTCTCTAAATACTATCTAAAATTTTTTAAATCAACAAATGGAAAATAATCGGCTAATAAACAGATTATCTCTTCTAAGAAAGAAATTCCCTAATGTTTGAGACCCCCCTCTAAATTCATAATTAAAATACATAATAGATAATTGAATTTAGTAACAGGGAGGTAGTAAAAAGGGCACAGAGAATCAGGGATGCGAAGGCAGACATTCAAATTAAGCTTTAATTGATACCCTCTGGAAAGTTCTCTCCTTAATTTTATTAAGGCTAATGAACTGACTCCATGTGTCAGGTTATTGAGGGTTTCTCTTTGACACAGACAATGTGATTAGAAAAACATGCTGAGTACCAGCCTCTTTATCTCTGATTCTAGGCACCTCACAAGGTGGTTATCTGAGAGGTAGTTTCAATTCACTTAACAAAATACACCCAGCTTTCTGAAGAGTCATTTTAATCTTCCTACCCATGTGATCTCTCAAAAATCAAGTTGAGATAATTTGAAAACAACCTATTTCATCCTGAAACCAAACTACCTTGCATTTCACTAAAAAAAAAAAAAAAAAACAACAACAACAAAAAAACCCACATAGTATATAATGAAAGAGAAAAAAATAGCCCTTGGCTATCTAATGCCCTTTCCCAGTTAATATCTTCTTTGGCAATGTCCGGGTTATAAATTGTGAAGACCCACAACACACTTTAAAGGAATGAAGCAAATACACACAGGGGCTATTCCGCTTGAACAGACAGTGGTGGGAGTTTCTCACTAAATTCTAAGTCAGAAAGCCCCCATGAGATTTGGCAAAAACACCACCACCAATTTTCCCCCTCCCCAATATGGGTTATGAGATCAAAAGACAAATATCAAGACCTCAAAGGTAAGATTATCAGCAAAAGCCAGTTAGTTAACTGACAGTAATATCATTTAATTTCCTACCTTTATCAGAAAAACCTCTCTGGTTCCCCATAAGCAGAAACTTCACTTATTTCAGAGCCACTGCTCAGTGCCAAGTCCCACCCTCTTCGACTTTCACTCCCCATGCTGGGGATGGAACCCAGGGCCTCATGGTGCTAAGCATGAGCTCTACCACTGACCTATATTCCCAGCCTCTTACTACCTTCTTTCTGTTCACATTTTTTGTGTGTGTTTGTGTAGGGTAGTGGGGATTGAAGCCAGGGGCCATACCCCCAGGCTGCCTCCTCTATTCTTATCTGAGTTAATGTGAGGTTTTAAGCTAGAAGATGGGCATGTGGTAGTGATGGGGCAGAAATAGTAAAAGACAAAATTCCAAACTAACCACTTTGTTATTTAAAATTTTAAAAATTTAAATCTGTAAGACCCTAGGGGAACAATGCATAATATCTGGTTCTGTAATATGTACCTGACTGGCTCTTAGAAAAATTATGACAGACTTTCAATCTACCAGCATGTGAATTTAGGAAATAAGCCAGTTTCAAAAAACAAAACAAGACAAACAAACAAGCCTGCCTGTGACTTGAAGCTGTGCAGAAAGGTGGCTCTGAGTTTTTAAAGGAAGGAAATAGGGGGAGCTACTCTCTGAAGTTGGTAGCTGACTAACCTCTACCACCGATTCCGCCACGACCCATAGCTCCACGCCCTAGGCCCCCTCTCCCAGGACCTCCACGACCTCGAACACCACCTCTTCTTAAGCCCATTCGGGGAGCTACGGCTCGTCCACCTCGGAGCAGGTTTTGACCTTGGAGAGGAGGCATACAATGTATATGCAGGTAAATCCAAGAGAAACAAAAGTAGATTCTAACCAAAGGAAGGCGGTGAGGGTTAAATTAAAGTAATTCAGTTAGTTTGTAAGCTGGGTAGGGCAAGCTGCACACTTGAGAGTGTGACCAGATTAAGTTGCTCATTATTTGTATCAGTTCAACATTTCTGACCACAAATCCATCTTGGGAAGTTGGGAGTTAATTAAGTACATACTTTTAACAAATTTAAAAACTATACAGGGAATAGAATAGCAGTGCCCAAATTACAAGATATAGGTTAAGTACTATTGGTCAACTTTTCCTCTCTTTCTTTCAGATGATTAACAGTGTTGTGCTAGCACCAGGAACAGACATGTTTAGTTTTGATATAGGCCGAAGACCCATACATTTCTTTATTTTTTTGGTGCTGGGGATTGAACCCATGGCCTCATATATATGCTAACATACATTTCTTAAACTTGACTTATTTCTACAACTTGAATGTGCTTTGATTCAAGCAGCAGCAGGGTGCTTTAAAATGAAATGGAGATGACATGAATTACCTGTTATGCAGGTCATAGCCTCTCACCATTGCACATTACCAGAAAAGGAATGGTATCAATAAAAGGCATGCAGCACTACTAAAAATGTGATTTCAAAAGTTATTAATTATATTAATACAAATTTAGTATTAAAGATGTTAAACAAATGTGTCCATAAGCAGCCCAAGAGAAAAGGAAAGGGGACAGGGCCCAACAGTTATCAGGTACACAAAGCACTGACCTCGGAGCGACATCCCGCCCCTAAGCAGGGTTCTGGTGGCACGTCCCCCACGTAGTCCTCCTCTGGATAAGCCTCTCTGGATTATGGGCAGACCTCGTCCTCCAATTGCTCCCCTGGCCAGGGCCCCTATGGGTCGGCCTAACCGTGCCTGGATGTTACTCTTACCCAGGCGCTGCTTTAAGCTCTTCTGGAAGAAAAGGTGTTGGAGGATTGAGATCAAAAAAGCAATTCAGTGAGAGGTGGCAATTCTAAGTGCAGAGAAAAGGAAGCAAGTGAGATGGCGGGAAATAACCTGCTGTGGGTATCATTAAGGATCCCAAATCAGAAACCTTTGTTCTCAGAACATGCTATAAAAGAATTCCAGAGCATAAACTCTAAGAAGCTTCAGTATGACCCCATGAAATTGGCATCACCACAAATCACCTCACTGATTTGGCTATAGAAGTCATATACCATCAGCTGGAACTTAGGTTTTAATAAGAACACTTGCTGTTTCTGAACCCCAGGTTGACAATGACATGACTTAATTCATACCTGCCCAGGAACTACTACTGTCTTCAAAGGCTTACTCAAACACCACAGGAAGTTCACCACACTCTGGGCACAATTTAAATTACAAGTTCATTTGAATTCTTTTGACTTAAGAACAAGATTGATTTTTCAGTCAAAGAGGCCAATGTGCTCCATTTTTCCTTTGAGTATCTATCTCCAGACGGTCCACTTTTTACCTTAAGATGCAAATAAACACAAGAGTCAAACTTCCTTTCCTTAAATTTCTTAGAAATCCATAATTCCATATCTACACTTGCAAACAGCTCCCTTAAGCCAATATTATAACTTTTAATTCAAAACAAACAAAAATATATCTCCAGAGAGCCAGCCAAACTGTTAGAATTAACACAGGTGAACTTTAACCACAAAGGGGCACATATGAGGACAAGGACATACTACAGAGATAGATTTTCAATAATCTGTTCTCAAAAAAATAAATCCTTGAGGATCACATCTTAAAAAATTCTTCAAAAGAAATTTCATCAATGTAGCTTTGAACACACAACCAAGGCCTATTTTTCTACAACATGAATGTAAATGAAGTTTATGCACACTCAGGTTCAACCCACAAATAACTTGTCCCCCTCTGGCCAATAGTAGCCCTCTTGTGCTGTGAGGCATAACTTCCTAGCACAAGATAAAGATAACAAGCCGCTTCTGATCAGTAGAGAAAGACATCTAGCACAGGAGGTGCAACCAACTTTAAGGGACTGTCCTCACTCTTCTAATTAGCACACAATTATTTTGTTTTTGTAGTGTTAGGGGTCAAATCCATACCCTTACGCATGCTCTACCACTGAGCTACACTCAGAGCCCCAGCACACAATCATGAGGTCAAGACTATATTCTGTAAGTGCCTCATGTTCAGTTTTCCTGAATATATCGATTCTCCTGAGTTCTATGCTTCAATGAAGAACTACACAGTGCCTAGAGTTCTCCTCCTATCCCCATCCCTAGATGCTACCAATCTTGGCCTCTAACATTGATAGGACACTTAAGGATGTCCACTATACCACTGGTTTCCACTCTAAAGCTGCTATTTGAGACAGCCACTGGACACATGTGGCTATTGAAGCTCCTCCACAGCACTAGCTACATTTAAAGTTCTGAATAGCCGTATGTGGCTAGTGGTTACTGTACTGGACAGCGCAGAGCATTTCCATCATCACAGAAGCGTCTGACAGTGTTGCTCTGGAGGTTACTTCTCGCACAGCCTATATTGAAAGCTTCATGCTGAAAGGTCCTTTGTTGGTGCCTTTTGCTTCTGGCTTTCCTGAGTCAGAGATGGATCCAGTCCTACAAGGCTTAAGGTAACTGAAGCAGAAAGCCTTGTTTATTTTTGGTCAGTGAGCCAGTGGTTCAGAATAAGGGTGGGAGGGTGTTATATTTAACTGCTGAATTTATGCACAGCCATGCAGTGCTACCAGTTAAAGTCCTTACAGTTGCATGGCATCGCCCTCCGGACGCCCAGCCACAGCTTGGACATATCCTTCCACAGCCAATGTCCGGACTTGCATATAAAGTCTATGAATAATAAAGAGCAGGTTTTATTTCAGGTCTGAATAGATTTATCTCTTACTGGAAATTTGAAAGAGAACCTCACTAATTCTTAAGTTAGCTACTCAGAACTCTTGCTCTAATGTACTGATAAAACTTCAGGTGCTGTGGAAACAAAAGTCACTATACTTTTTGTATATTTTAGCACTGAAAACTTTTGACTAAGGCCAAATTCCCTGTATAGGGAAGAATAAAATTATTTCCCTAGGATATAGATCACTTAACAGGAAGTAAAGGATATTTTGAAGATCATCTAAACACAAATAGTTTCTTTCCTTCTCTTTTTTTGGGCAGTGCTGGGGATCAAATCCATGGCCTTGCACATGGTAGGCAAGTGCTCTTCTTTTGAGCTATACCCCAACCTGAAACAAAGGTTCTTTGTATCAAAAAAAATCCATTAAATCTACTTTTAGGGTAAAGGACCAAACGTAAGAGATTAATAGTCACTGATAACACAAACAGGCCACAAAGATGGCAAACTCCCTAAAACAGAAATAATAAAACATTATTTATCAGTACCTGCCAAAATTGGAATTCTCTGAACTTCCCTTTCATAGAAGCTTCAGGTTTGGCCCTGAGCCTCTGTCATCATCCATGGCATCCAGACACCCTCAGCGGACTGACTGACACAGACCACCAGCTGCTTCAGAGCATTAAGACACATTCTCTCACCTGCTTAAGTTTTAATGCTGCCTGGACAGAGGGTCTATTCTCCATCTGCTGGGCCAGTCTTCTGTTTCTGGCACTGGCTAGCTGCTGTTGTTGCTGCATCGAAGCTCGAATATTCACTGGCATCGGCTGTTTGTTCTTCAGCATATTAGTAAAGCTTCAAGGTCGAACAAAATGGATGTTTAAATAAAAGCTTTATTACAAAACATTTATTGGCATTTTCATGGCTTGCTAGACCAGGAGCTCCAGATCCCACGAACTTTTAAGTAAAGTGGTACGTTTAGATCAAGGCTGATGTGGGTTAAAGACTCCTCTGTTTCCACAAAACTTGCAAGAATCAGAAACTTAGAAATGCAGCACAATCAAAAGTGATAACAAGGGCTCAGGTAACAGCTCTTAAGAGAGGTGGAAAGTATGAAAAACACGCAATAAGCAGATATGATGACAAGAGACAGAAGATGTAGTTTCAAAGACAAACAAAGAAAGCCTAAACTTTGGGAACTCAAGGGTTCAGTTTAAGGGCAAATACGAGGAAGGCCTAGAGCATCTTCAAAGCCAGGGAAATCATACATCCACATAAATTTTAGGAGTGTATCAATTTATAAATACATGTTGCTTAGGAACATGTGAATATAAGTAATTAATGTTCTACATCCTCAGAGATAAGAAGTATATATGCTTCAGAAGAAGCAAAAATAGACATTTTAACATCAACTTGATAAAGATTACTGGCCAAATATACTGAATGAACAAAGCTCTCAGATAGAAACTGCCTTTAAATACCTTTTCTCAGTTTCAAAGGATCATTTTTTCCAATTCCAAGTGAGTACTTTTGAGAAATATTAGTTTAATCATTTAAGAGCCTGTGAAAATATTTCTCTATTATATCTGACATGGTTAAGCTTAATGGAATGAGACAGAAGAACACTTAACTGTTAAAAGAATCCAAAACAAAAACAAACTAAAAAGCAGAATGGAAAGAAAGTGAAATGGAGCAAAGCAAGTGCCTCTTACAAGGCCCAGGAATGGCATTCGAGGGCCTTTGGACATATTCATGGCTTGCTACCTGCCTCTTACAGGCCAGACACAACACTGCTGGCCTTGGACTGGGCAGCAAGCCTTTTGCAGCCAGGGTATATCATGCTACCGTGCTGCACCACCCCTGTATCAATGCAAAAAAAAAAAAAAAAAGAAAAAAAATTGAAGAAAAGAGAGGGCGCGAGGAGTCTTTTTAAAATACATCCCACCAGATAAATATTTCAGACAGCTTAACATAAAAATCTACTGTTATGGGGTTTTGAAACAACCGCCCAATTGGTTTTGTGTACCACATTAAGATGCAACTAAGAACAGAGGTCTGTAGCCTTCTGTTGGTATTTAGCTTACAACGTTTTTGTGCATTGGACCCCAGGGCCATTTAAGTAATGTTTTCTTAGGAAGGAGCTGAAGTTGCTGTTGGCTGCCTCACCGCTCATTTAGAGACATCTTGGTGGTGCTTTTTAGCACAACTTTCGGCGCTGATTGTGCAGCCATCTTCAAATCCCGAGAATCTACAAAGGATGACATGCAGAATGAAGAAATCAGAATAATGGCCACTTTATTTCTAAAAGGTACAAGTCCAAAACAATGAATGAAAAGGTCTATGTCACTGGTTATTGAAAATCAAAACTCATTATAGGAGTTTATGAGTGTTGTCTCAAATTATTAAAAATTTTAAGGCCAAGGACAGCAAACATCTGCCAAAATTGTTTAAGAGTCTGGCTTTTAGCCTGACACTGTGGTACATGCCTATAATCCCAGCCACCTCGGAGCCTGGAGGCAGGAGAATGACAAAAATTAAGCAACTCAGACCCTGTCTCAAAACAAAAGGCTGGGGACATAGGTCAGTGGTAAAGTGCCCCTGGGTTCAATCTTCAATTAAAAAAAAAAATCTGGCTTTAAATACAGAGAACCTTTTTCAACCTTGGCTGCAAAAGACTTGGCTAAGAAACGTTTAAAAATACAGATGCCAGGGGTCCAGACCAGTCTCTGGTGGCAGGGGCAGAGGCCAGGGATCAGCAATTAGTGGGAAATAAGCAGCCTAATGGGCAAAGTTGAGACCCACTGATCCAGGGAAGACACACGGGCATGCCCAGTTTCAGGGGCCTTGGCAAGGGATTAGGGATTTATGGGATTGAGTGGGAGAGGTTTCCTAAATGAGCATTCATATGGGAGTCAGCTCTCCAGAGCCCTCTCAGACTTTAACCCTAAAGCCGCCACGAGGTCCACCAGTCCTCGTTTAAATCCCTACCACTGCCCGGCGCGGTGGCGCACGCCTGTAATCCCAGCGGCTCGGGAGGCTGAGGCAGGAGGATCGCGAGTTCAAAGCCAGCCTCAGCAAAATCGAGATGCTAAGCAACTCAGGGAGACCCTGTCTCTAAATAAATGCAAAACAGGCAGGGACGTGACTCAGTGGTTAAGCACCCTGAGTTCAATCCCTGGCACCCCTTTCCCCCAGTAAACCCCCACCGTCCCCAGCGCCGCCGAGGCCGGCCCGCCTCCGCCACCACCTGGGCCCCGCCCCGTCTCGGGCTCCGCCCCCTCCCCGTAGGCCTCCCCGCCAACGCTGCCTCGGCGCCCACAGCCGGCCTCCCCGCCAACGCTGCCTCGGCGCCCACAGCCGGCCTCCCTAGCCGCTGGACCGTCCGCCACCCTCCCCCTCCACCACCCCTCCCCTCCTCCCACCGAAACGCACCAAAGGAAACGGACGCCAGCGCTCCTCCCGGGGCTGCCACCACGGCTGCGGCGGGCGGCCGGGGACCGGCCGAACCTGGGTTGACGGCGGAGGGGCTCGGGTGCACTAGGTGGGCGGTTGGTTAAATAAGTAAGCGGTAGAATGCGCGGTTCGTTCGTTTAGGTTGACTACCTAGCCGGCCAATCCGCCTGGTCGCCCGGCCTGCCCTTCTCTGCCTTTCGTCTGTGCCTCCACAGCTGCCGCCGCCAACTCCTGCTCGGTGTCCAAAACAAAATGGCTGCCACGCTCAGTGCGGAGTAGGACCGGATAAAATGGCGTCTGCGCACTTACGTCAGGCGTTTAGATGCGCACGCAGCTAGGGGCGGGGCTGATGCACTACGCCTGCGCGGGAGTCAGAGGAGCGCTGCGGTGGAGGAGGGGCTATGGTGCTCCGCCCATAGGGGGTGTGGTCTAGTGGGCGGGGCAGGTGGGAGCTTCGCTTTCCGGCTAGGCTGCACTGTGCTTGGAGGGGTGGTGGGCTCTGGTCCAGGTGAAAAGCGCGCATATTCCCTGAAGCCCTTCTCTTGCCCCTAAGAAAGCGTGTCTAAAGGCCTGTGTGTGGGGCTCGCCTCGGTCTCTTCCGGACCGTCGAGCCCAGCTCACTGGCTTCGGCTCCTGCCTCATCCGGTTCCCAGTTCACAGCTCACCGATTGTGAGTGGCATGGACCTGAGCCAGGGCCCGGGAGGCTAGTGCTGGGAGCCCTCCTCTAGCTGACCAGCGCCCGTAGCCCTCCCTGTTTTCAGCTCCACTCCTTCCCCTTCCAAACTTGGCCTGAACATGGTCTGATCCTTCTTTTGGGGTAAACCTTCCATGTCTTTCTCCCAAACTACCATCCATGTGGAATTTTAAAATGTAACCCAGAGCCTCCCGCATGCCAGGGAAGCACACGGCCCCAGAGCAATGTCCCCAGCCCTCCCCAGCCCTCCGTATGGATTTTGATGCAGACCTGTAAAGGGATTTTTCTTAAGGCTCAGTACACAAAGTGCTTAAATGTTTCAGGGATGAATGAATGAACATCTTCAGCACTTTCTTCTGCCCCATGTAACTTTGGGACCCTTTGTTTTTCCTGGCACTTAGTTTGTGTGGGTGTGTTTAATGGTCCTGCACCCTTGCTAGACTTTATTCTGATGAGGTAAGGAGAGTTTTATTTTGCTCACTGGTGTGTCCCCAGTTCCCACACAATGTTTAGCACGTGGTAGGACCTCAGTAAAGGTTGGTTGAAGGTTGAAAGGAGCTTTTTTCCTTCTGGTTTTGTAGTTGAGAAGCTGATGTCTCTTCCAGCTGGAACCTTGGACCCCTACATTTGTAAGTCTTGAGCGTTCTTCAGGTAGGAAGATGATGTGCACAGGGAACTCTTTCCAAAATCGGGGGAGTTGGGAGTAATCAACTCTCATTTCTCCACCCACTTCCAGACCCCAGAGGAGACAGACATTGATGGCTGCTGAGAGCGGAGCCTTTAATGAAAGATTAGTTGCAGGCCTGGACTGCTACTCTTGCGCCCTTGGTGTGTATTGAGGGAGGTGGGCAATGGTGAGAATGTGGACAGGGATAAGTGGGGTGAGGTAAAAGCAGGTGAAGGGGCGGGCCCCGCAGGGGGAGGGGAAGGGCGCTGCCCACTGGGCTGTCTGCTCAACTGTTCTCCCAGAAGAAGTTGTTACAGGCCACTGTGAGAGCAGCCACCAGCACCACATACTCCTGGAAGTCCACCTCCCCGTCTCCATTCTCATCGAGCTCCTTCATCACCTTGTCCACAGCATCTGCATCCTTCTGGGCCTGCGGAGGAAGAAGAGGGAGAGGAGGTGTGCATCACTGAGTCAGGGGCAGGAGGTGGTCGAGGAGAGCAAGGCAGACGTGAGCAAGAGGTCAGACAGCCTCTAATCATGGGACCTTCTGCTTACCACCCAAGAAGGCTCATGGGCTCCTGTTGCCTTCAGAAGAAACGCCTTAACTGGAAGAGTTAATGATAACGTCAATCACCATAAGCTAATTGTCTACAGTGTGACAAGCACTACACTAGGAGCCTTCCAGGCACTGTCTAGTTTAATTCTAATACAAGCAGTATGGGGCTCTTTTTATTAATTCCATTCTGAAGAAGAAACATGGATGATTTTTGTTAAATAAATGTGCCCAAAGTCACACAAAAAGCGGCAGGGCTGACATTAGGTGTGGTGATGCACACCTGTCATCCCAGCAGCTCAGGAGACTGAGGATCCCAAGTTTGAGGCCAGCCTCAGCAATTTAACAAGGCCCCTATACAACTTAGTGAGACCCTGTCTCAAAAAGTAAAAAGGGGGGCTGGGGATGTGGCTCAAGCGGTAGCGCGCTCGCCTGGCATGCGTGCGGCCCGGGTTCGATCCTCAGCACCACATACAAAGAAAGATGTGACTGCTGAAAAACAAAAAAAAAAAAATATAAAAATTCTCTCTCCCCCCTTTTTAAAAAAAAAAAAAAAGTAAAAAGGGATGGGGATGTAGCTCAGTGATTGAATGCCCCTGAGTTCAATCCTCAGTACCAAAAAGAAAAAAAAAAAAAGGTGGCAGGGCTGGTCTTAGTGACACACGCCCATAATCCCAGTGACTCAGGAGGCTGAGGCAGGAGGATCACAAGTTTGAGGCCAGCCTCAGCAGCTTAGTGAGACCCTGTCCTAAAAAATAAAAAGGGCTGGGAGCGTTAACTCAGTGATAAAGCACCCTTGGGTTCAATGCCCAATACTGACGCGGGGGAAGAAAAAGGAAGTAGTAGGACCAAAATTTGAATGCAGAGCTGCCCGGTCTGCCATATCTGAGTGGCTTCTTCACTGTGTGCCCCCTGTTAACGTTTGCAGCCTGCTTCTCCACACTCTCCAGTCAAATGGAACTGCTGGGCGTGCTCCACATTGTCTTCTATGCTTGTGTTCATGCAGACACCCCCTAAAATGTCTTCATTGACCCCAGTCATCTTCCAGTGGAAGCCCCTGGCTCAACTGCCACTCTTCAAGGAACCGTCCTACTTCAGTCTGGTCACTAATCTCCTACTAACCCTTTCTGGCACCTTTGTTAAGGCTCTGTGTACTTCCTGGAGTTCGGGGTTTCCCTTCTAGACCGTGAACCTCATTGAGGAAACTGCACAAGACCTAGTGCTTCACAGGTAGGCAGTAAACCAGGGCATTTGGATTTGACACAGGGGAGCCTGGAAGACCCCGATGAGAGAGGAGGGGGTGGCTGGACTGAGCTGCGGGGGCGGGGAGGAATGGCAGGGAGGCGCCCCCAGTGCCCCACCTCTTGCCCACCCACCCTCTCCTCGCACTCCATGCTCACATCCAGGAAGCCAGACAGCTCGGTTTGCAGCAGCTCCTTCAGTTCCTTCTTGCTCAGCTTGTACTTGTCCCCCTCCTTGCCTGAGTGGGCGTGGAACACGTTGATGAGGGTCTCCATCGCAGACTCCAGCTCAGAGCCCATCGCAGCAGTGCGCCTATTCCAGCCACACAGCACCGGGGTGAGCTGGGGACCAGGCCCGGGGCCTCCTCGGGCCTGGACCTGGTTCCACAGCCAAATAACCCTGAGGTGGGAGTCCTGCTGCAGCTTATCTTTCGTTGAGATTTCACAGCGTGGGGGAAGGCCCAGCACAACTAACTGCAGACCTCTGTGTCCCTCAGTCTGAACCCTAGCCAAAGGGAGTCAGGGTTGGGCATGGAGAGCAAGCAGCCGGAACTGGGCTGGCTCCGGAGGCCTGCCGTGGGCGTCCGCAGTGGCTCCTGACTGCCTGGGCAGAGACGAGGGTGGGGCAGGCTGGGGTGGTCACAGGACTAGGATGGCTTCTGCCGCCTCTATTTTTACCCTGGACCTTGTAGGCCTAGCACCACCAAGTTCTGCCAGTTCTGCCGTGGGGTGGTGGGCTGGCGTCCCTGTAGCCTTGACTCTGGGGCCCACTGCAGCAAGGACTGCGTCTGGCTCCCTTGGTGAGCCTGACAGAGGGTGGTAGCCTGAGTGGGTGGCCCAGAGCTTTTGGGGGGAACGGAGTCTGTTTCTGATTTTCCTGCCAGCAATTTGTAGGGGTCTTTTTTGGTCCTTCAAGCCCTCCTCTCTTCAACTTGTCATTTTGACCTCTCTGGGGTGTGCCTCCCAGTGCCTTCAGTTTAATTCCTCTCTGCAAAATTATGGCCTCCATCAGGTGGGTGGCAGGAAGGGAGAAAAGAATGTCTGAGCCCTGGAGAGGGGGAGGGAATCTGTAGACCTTGGTCCCTGGTTGCCTGGTTGATGTGGGTACAGTGGGAACAGGGAATGGGGCTGGTATGTGTTGGGGAGATAAAAACTGAGTGCATGAAGTCTTTTGAGTTCAAGGGGCTGGGCGAGAACAGGAGAAGAATGGAGGGGTCTGTTGAGGAGAGGAGACTGCCAAGCTGGGGAGCCTCTGTCCTTTGGCCCTGGGACAGTCAGGCCCTCCGCAGCCCCAAGGGGCAGCTCAGGTGTCTGGGATCAGGTATCCCCATCCTTCCCCAGGACTGGGGGAGTGGACAATGGGCTCTGATCAGATGACATCCCAGCTCTTCAATAAGGCCCTTGTGAGTGTCACCTGAACTCCGGACATGAGAAGCAATTGTCACAGAGACGTGGGGGTGATGGAACCCAAGACGGGGCTGATAGAGAGGATAAGGGGTGCTCGAGGGAGGGATGCTGGTGGCTCAGTTACCAGCCCTATCAGGAGGGACAGCTGGAGGTTGCCGCTAGCTCTCCAGCAGCCTGGGATTTTATGTGGGGGCAGTTCTGGGAGGACCTGGGTTGGGGAAATAGGAAAACTACAGAGGAAGGAATTGGGGAAAGAGGAGGGGGGTCTGGGCTGAGAAAAGAGCAAGACAAAGGGGACATCTTGTGAAGGAAGAGTTGGGAGAGGGCTCAGAACCAAGGGTCCTCTCTTCCTGATAATCATGCGGCCCTTGCTCTGCTGCCCCCAGACCTCCCTGGGCCCGGCTCTTGGCAAGGCTAGCAGGGGTGGCAGAGACTGAGTCTGGAAGTGGGTAGGAACAGCTGTTCTCTTCTGTTATTGTTACTCCATGGGAGGCAAGGCAAGGCTGTGTCCCTTCCCCAACAATGAGAGACTGAGGAGACTTGGCAGGGGACTCGTGGGCTCTGTGTGGGAGGGGCTGGTGGCCTGGAAGCTGGGTGATGGGCTCCCATTCACTGAGCTCCCAGCTCTAACTCTGACCCTTACTCACCCCGCCTTACCACCTTCCAAACCGTCTCCCCCAGATTCTGAGCTGCCCCTACCCTAATTCCTCCCAGGCCCTAAGTGCACCACGATGCAGAATGCCATTGTCACCCCTCCCCCGCTCTTGGGACCCCCTCTGAAGTCCCCTTTCCCCCAAGCTGGCCAGGCCAAGGACCTAGGCCAGGTTGGGCGGGATACTCACAGTTGGCCTGGGTCTGAGATGGGAGCGGGTTCTGCACAAATGGCCGAGGCTGCAAGTGTGGCTCCCGGGCTGTGTGAGAGACCTGTCTTTAGCAGTCCTTCCCCCGCTGCCCCCCCAGCGGCTCCACCCCTTCACAGACACCCAGTGGGGCAAGGGGCCAGGAGAGGACAGAGGCGCCCTCTGTCTCCTGGGCTGGAACAGGCTGCCCTGTGTCTCCTCCCTGGCCTTGGTTGCCTGCCCTCCCACCCCCTGCTGGGTACCAGCGGGGAAGTGCAGGGAGAAGGGAGGGGGAGGTGGGTCCTGGGGGGACACAGAGTCTCACCCCCAGCTCCACTGCACAGCCCCTGGAGCTGGCTGTGACACTGACAGGGAAGGGGAGGGTTTGCAGAGGAAGTCTTAGCCTGGGGCTGGCCACGGGGTCTCGCTCAGTGAGTGACTTAGTCTTGGGACCGCTGAGATCTCTCAATCTGGGATTCTGCTATGCCGCTGTGGCCTGGGTCCCCCATGGTGGTGCCGGAGCTTGCAGTCCTTGGAAGGAGTGTGGGCTGCAGTGACCCTTGCAGGGTCTCTGAGGTTTTGTAGATTGGCCTCTCAGTGCTGAGCTCCAGTTGGATTTTCAATTAGTGGTTGTCATCCCTGCCCCCCTCCCGGTTAGCTTTTGGGGGTGTGGTAGGGCAGCAGCCCCCCATAAAGGAAGTGATGGACTCTGGGACCCCTGCTTAATGGGATCTGTCCAGGACGCCCCCCCCCCCCAAGCTGGGGAACCTGCGGGAGTGGTCGGGCGGCCAGGCTTCCCAGCCCCAAGGCCAGCGCGGGAGGCGTGACTGGGCGGTCCCCCCTCTGGAGAATCAGCTAGGAAACTGGACACCTCGGGCTGGGCGTGGCGCCCTCCTCCCCGCAGGCCTTATAAACCTCGGCCTCGCATCTCCGCGGCAGCACCCCATCTCCTACCCTGGTGAGTCGCACCCCGTCCCCACCCAGGGGCTGTCTGGGGATCCGTTTTTCTCCATTGGCTCCCGGTCCCCCCACCCCCAGCCGCTGGGACAGGGATTCAGGAAGTGGCTTGGGGAGAGCAGGCAGCAGTCCCCGCAGGAGCCTGTGCGTGTGCGTGTGTGGGGGGGTGGACGGAAAGGAGAGGGATGCGTGGGCTTGTCCCTTTCCTCCAGCTTTCTGTCGTGCCCCCAGGGGACTTGAGTGCCCGGACGGTGCCCCTGTGGGCTCGGAGAATCAGAGGACCTCCGCGCCAGGACCCTGTCATCTGGAGACAGGGTTGGAAGGGCATGAGGGGTTCTTGTCCCAGCACTCGGTCCAGCTGCCCCCAAGGAGAGGGAGGGGAGGGGATCTGTCCAGACTGAGCCAGCCCTGACCTCAGCTGGGCTTGTGCCAACCCTAAGCTTCTCTGCTGGAAGGAGTGACCAGCGTGTGGGCGGACTGCAGGTCCCACTGTAAACAAACTGGAGACAAACAACCTCCTGACCCTTTACCACTGGGAGAGACAACATAGGGCCATAAGAGAAACCCCATCAGAGGGCCACCAGACTCCGAGGACTTTGAAGAAGGAACTGCAAACTGAAAAATCTCTCCCCGATAGAGGGATCACCATACTTGATGGATCACCTCTCTTATCTCTTTTTTTTTTTTTTGTACTTGGGATGAAACCCAGGGGGCTTCACCACTGAGCCATACCCCCAGACCTTTTTATTTTTAATTTGGAGCCAGTGTCTCGCTAGGTTGCTGACAGCCTCGATAAATTGCTGAGGCAGGCTTGCCATCATCCTCCTGCCTCAGTCTCCCCAGCTGCTGGGATTACTGGCACCTGAACCCACATAGACGGCTTCTTAAAAAGGACCTTCAGAAACCAGGTGTGGTAGCCCACAACTGCAAACCCAGCTTCAGGGGGGCCTAACAAGAAGACAAGTTAGAGGCCAGCCTGGACAATTTACTGAGACCCTGCCCTGCCTCAAAATAAAAAAATAATAATAATAATAATAACAAGGGCTGGGGGATGTAGCTCAGTAATAGAGCACCACTGGGTTCCCTCCCCCGTGCCCCACCCCAAAATAAAGGACCCTCAGATCGTGACCCTCAGAAGAAAGTTTTCTGGGACTAAACTTAAATTGAGATACTGTTGCCTGGTCCCCTACCCCAAGCTCAACCTCTGAACCCTCCCTCTTATAATGACACTCCGGAGGGCACCAGAGCAGGGACACTGGCCATCCTTGGATCCCAGACTGCCTAACTCCTCCCCCTCTGCTCCCCCACGTCCTGCAGGTCAGCTGTGTGAGCACATCAGCTCCAACCCCAGGGGCCTCATGGCGGACGAGCCACTGACTGAGCTGGAGGCGGCCATCGAGACAGTGGTCACCACTTTCTTCACCTTTGCAGGGCGGGAAGGCCGGAAGGGCAGCCTCAGCGTCAATGAGTTTAAGGAACTAGCCACGCAGCAGTTGCCTCACCTGCTCAAGGTGGGTGGAGGTCTCTGGGCTGGGATTCTGTGAGGCAGCGTTGGTGGGACCCTGAGTGTGTGAGGGGAGACTGCTGAGTAGACAGTGAGCCACAGGAGGGGTGGGAGGCCAGGCAGGGGGGTGCACACCAGGTCTCAGTGAGGGGGTGGATTCCAATTGGAGGCCAACCCAGGCAACTCAGTGAGACTTTGTCTCAAAAAATAACAAGAGTTGAGGGTGTAGGTCAGTGGTCACGGGATCAATCCCCAGGACCTCAAAACAAACAAACAAACAAAATAAAATAAAAGGATGTAAGTGACTGCATGTGTACATGGTTCTGGGTTTTCTGTCCTCTGTGTGTGTGTGTGTGTGAGAGAGAGAGAGAGAGAGAGAGAGAGAGAGAGAGAGAGAGAGACAGACTAGGTAAGCAAAGATACTGTGTTTGTGCAACTGGGTTCTGTACTCTCATTAAAAGATGCTGTTGGGTTCTTGTGTCTGTGTGGGCCTCTCTGGTCTCATTTCCCCAGTATAGGACTGGCCCCAGAGATGGCTTCCAGGACATTCACAGACCCTCAGAGCTTGAAGGAGGCCAAGAGAAAACATAAAAACATGGTTCAGGCTCCTCACTTCACATATATGGAAACTGAGGCCCAGCAGTGGGAATGGTATTATTAAAAGCAAAAACAAAATTGGGCATGGTGGCACATGCCTGTCATCTCAGCAACTTGGGAGGCTGAATCAGGAGGATCTCAAGTTTGAGGGCAGCCTCAGCAACTTAGTGAGATCCTGTCTCAAAATAAAATTTAAAAAATGGCTGGGGGTGTAGCTCCATGGTAGAGTACCCTGGATTTAACCCTCAGTAATTAACTTTCTCTCTCTCTCTCTCTCTCACACACACACACACACATGCACACAAGAAAATAAAGAAAACAGCCAAATCCATGGAGTCCTAGACTCTCAGTGTAGGAGGTCCATAAGGAACATTTGTGACTATTTCCCACCATCTCTGGGATCCCCTCGATAGAGCGCCTGACAGGGCCATTCTTCTCGTCTACTGGAAGGAATGAGTTGGGATTTAAATTTCATCCACTCTGGGTTTGCCCGTCATTCCAGGCTAACAGTTTCTTTTTCCTCCTTTCTGAAAATTCACAGGTACTTAGCAGTGTATGAGTATGGATTTTTAAAAAACAAAGCCATCCTCTGAAACTTAAGTCTCTCATCTGCAAAATCCCCTGTATCCTCTCACTTCTCAGACTTTTCCTTTCGCCTTTTTATTGGAAATGTCAGATTCTCTGATGAAGGTGTAGCATTCCCAGAGTCTGGTTGAGCAGTAACTGATTTTCCCTCTGACGTCCTCTGGGCCTGGGAAAGCAAGAAGTGGCCTCTTTGCTTTTCATCTGTTTTTCTGGACCTTAGTTCCTTCTTCTGTAGACCCCCAGCTCCTTGGAAGCTGAGCTGCCTCCCTCTTCCTTCTTTGTTTCTTCTCATGGTAATGAGGTTTGAGCCCAGGGGCCCTTTTCTTTGGGAGGGGGTGCCAGGGATCGAACTCAGGGGCACTCAGTTACTGGGCCACGTCTCCAGCCCTGTTCTGTATTTTATTTAGAGACAGGGTCTCACTGAGTTGCTTAGCGCCTCACCATTGCTGAAGATGGTTTTGAACTCATGATCCTCCTGTCTCAGCCCCCTGAGCTGCTGGGATTATAGGCGTGTGCCACCGCACCCGGCTCCAGTGACCCTTTTTATTTTTTACTTTTTTTTTTTAATATTTATTTTTTAGTTTTTGGCAGACATAACATCTTTGTTTGTATGTGGTGCTGAGGATTGAACCCGGGCCGCACGCATGCCAGGCGAACACGCTACCGCTTGAGCCACATCCCCAGCCCTTTATTTTTTACTTTGAGACAGGATGTTACTAAATTGCCCAGGCTGGCCTTGAACTTGTGATCCTCCTGCCTCAGCCTTCTGAATAGCTGGGATTACAGATCTGCACACCGTGCCTGCCTTCTGCCCTCCTTACTGTACTGCTTATATCTTTTCAGCTTTGGCTCACTGTTATTCTTCTCAGCACTGCATCTGTTGTTGTTGTGATGATGGTGATGATGATGATGATGATGATGATTGGTACCTGGGACTGAACCCAGGGACACTTAACCACGGAGCCACATTCCCAGCTTTTTTTTTTTTTTTTTAATATTTTATTTAGAGACAGAGTCTCTCACTGAGTTGCTTAGGGCCTTGCTAAGTGGTGGAGGCTGGCTTTGAGCCCTTGATCCTCCTGTCTCAGCCTCCTGAGCTTACAAGCTTGTGCCACCATGACCGGCAGGACCTTCAGTCTCTTGACCTTCCACTTTTTCATTTTCTATCATCATCTCTCATCTCTTCATTTCTCGTCTTCCTTAGCTCATGTTCAAGACGTTATTAGGATCATACCCTCAATCCATTTGATTCTCTCTCTGTCCCAGTTGTCTGGCAGAATCCCAACCCTGATGAAATCCAACATTTCCCCTACATTAACTTGCTGGTTAAATCACCATCCCTGCCTACACTTGGATAGCTGAATCTGGCTGGAGGAAAATGCACGGCCTAGTTGACTTGTCTTACTTTAAATCAGTGACCACAGACTCTGAGGGACCCTTAGCAATGCTGGCGACTCTGCTGTGTTTCCCTGAATGATTGTGTATCAGCTCTTTCAGATGATGGTTTCATAACTTTCCCTCCCTTCTCAAACTCCAGTGCCTCTTTCCACATTCTCCCTCTCACTGAGAAATTCCCTCACTAAGAAAATAAATCATCAGGAAACTTCTATGTGCTACCCTCATCCCCAAATCTACTGCTCAATCAGCACACAATCTGCTTCCTTCCTGGTCACATAAATGATCAGTTTTAGCTCTTAACTGGTGCTCTGGATCCTATCCCCTTTCACCTACTTTAAAGACTTTCCTTTTGCAATTCTTGCAGTGATCCCTTCTCTTTCTTGCATCATTAAAATTTCCTTCTCTACTAGGTCTTTTGTATCAGGGGTTTTGTTGCTTGTTTAATTTTTTTTTTTTTTTTTTTTTTTTTTTTTTTTTCTTGGGGTTATCCAGTGCATGCATGCTTTTTTTTTTTTTTGTACTAGGGATTGAACCCAGGGGCACTCAACCACTGGGTCACATCCCCCAGCCCCTTTTAATTTTTTTATTTTGAGACAAAGTCTGGCTAAATTGCTTAGGGCCTCAATAAATTGCTGAGGCTGACTTTGAACTTGCAGTCCTCCTGCCTCAGCCTCCTGAGTGCTGGGATTACAGGCCTGCACCACCACGCCTGGCTTCCCAGCCCCTCTTTAAAAAAAACAAAATTTTTTTTTTTGGTTGTAGTTGGACATAATACCTTTATTTTATGTATTTATTTTTATGTGGTACTGAGGATCAAACCCAGTGCCTCACACGTGCTAGGCAAGCCCTCTACCACTGAGCCTCAGCCCCAGCCCTTCCCAGCCCTTTTTATTTTTTAAATATTTATTTTTTAGTTGTAGTTGGATACCATATCTTTAATTAATTAATTTATTTCTATGTGGTGCTGAGGATCGAACCTAGGGCCTCGCCCACGGTAGGCGAGTGCTCCACCGCTGAGCCACAACCCCAGCCCCCCGTCATCCCTTTTTAACATTTATTTTGCAGTAGAGTCTCACTAAGTTGCCCAGGCTGGCCTCCAACTTGTGATGCCCTGTGTTAGCCTCCCGAGTACCTGGGATTACAGATGTGTACCACCACAGTCTCTTTACAGATATGCTGTAATGTCTTCCATCTTGGGAAAAGAAAGAAAATTATAATAATAAAGAACACCTCCCTTGACCTTGTAGCTGCTTTTAGTTATGCCGTATATTTCTTCTGTACTCTATCACAGAACTCCTCAAAAGCAATGAGAATGACTCATACTTACCGTCTCCACTTTTCCTCTCCTGTTCACAGTGCTCATCTCCCAGGTACTTGCTAGGCTTATTCCTCATTTAATTCAGGTTCCTGCTTAGCTGGCAAATCCTCAGCACAGTCTCCCTTCACCACTGAACACAAAAGTCACCTCCTTTACCCTGCAGAACACAACCAATCTGACCTCCACGATACACTTACATGTTTTTAAGTGTGAAAGGCTCAAGAAGGAAAGGCATTTGCTTACCATTTAATCTCAGCAGTTAAACAGTATCTGACTTCTCTATTGGGTGCTCAATAAAATATTAAGTGACGGGGCTGGGGCTGTAGCTCAGTGGTAGAGCAGTTGCCTGGCACATGTGAGGCACTGGGTTTGATCCTCAGCATAACATAAGAATAAGTAAATAAAATAAAGGTATAAAAATATTAACTGACAGTCTTAGTGAGTTTTGGCTACTCTAACAGAGTACTATAATCTGAGTGGTTGACAAACAACAAAATTCATGTCTCCTAGTTGTGGAGGCTGGAAGCCCAAATCAGGGCGTCAGAGTAGTTGGGTTCAGGTGAGGGCTTCTTATGGGTTGACATCTTCCAGTTTTGCCCTTACCTGGGCAAAAAGCTCAAGAGCTCTCTGGGGTCTTGTTGTTGTTTTTATTTTTTGGTACTGGGGATTTAGCACAGGGGCACATAACCACTGAGCTACATCCCCAGTCCTTTTCATTTTTGAGACAGGGTCTTGCTAAATTGCTGAGGCTGACCTGTAACTAGCGATCCTCCTGCCTTAGGCTCTGGAGTCACTGGGATTAGGGGCCTGTACCACCGTGCCCACTCTGGGGTCTCTTTAAGCAAGGGCACTAATCTAAATCATGAGGGATCCACCTTCATGACCCAAGGCTACACCTAATACCGTCACATTGGGGTTTGGGATTTTGTTATGGATTGGATCGGAAATGGCCCCCCAAAGTCTCATGTATTCACGGTGGGGGCTTTTGGGAAGTGACTGGATCATGAAGGCTCTGACCCGTCATTCAGTTAACCTATTGAAGACAGGATGGACTCCTGGGAGGTGGGACCTGGTTGGAGGAAGTAGGTCCCTGGGGCGGGCCCGGGAGGGTGCATCTCTCTCTTGCCTCCCACCCCACTTTCTGGCTGCCGTGAGCTGACAGCTTTAATACCTCTGGGCCTTGCGCCACGACGTTGCACTTGACCTGTGGCCTGAAGCAGTGGCACCAGCTGACTATGGACTGAAAGCTCTGAAACCAGGAGCCCAAATAACTGGTCCCCACCCCAAGTCGTTTGAGTCAGGTAAACACCCAATGAAAAGCTGACTGACAGAGAGATCTCAACATGGGCTTTGCAAGGACACAAAATTCAGTCCATGAGGGACTGGGATGTAGCTCAGTGGCAAAGTACTTCTCTCGTATGTGCAAAGGCCTGGGTTTGATCTCCAGTTCTAAAAAATAAAAAAAATAAGAAACAAACAAACAAAAACCCAACCAAAAAAGGACTAGGGGGCTGCGGGTATAGCTCAGCAGTAGAGTGCTTGCCTAGTATGCATGAGGTCCTGGGTTCAATCCCCAGCACCCTCCCCAAAAGCAGGGGCTGGGGATGCTCACTGATAAAGAACGACTGGGCTCCCTTCCCAGTATAAAAGCAAAACAAAACAAAACACTAAAATTCAGTCCACAAGAATGGGTGAATATAATTGAAAAAAAAATTAAAAATGAAAAAAATTTCCAGTGAGTGAATGAATACATTTTTTTTTTTTTTTTGGTACTAGGGGTTGAACTCAGAGCCACTCAGCCACTGAGCCCTGTCCCTGGCCCTACTTTGTATTTTATTTAGAGACAGGGTCTCACTGAGTCGCTTAGCGCCTCACTGTTGCTGAGGCTGGCTTTGAACTTGCGATCCTCCTATCTCAGCCTCCTGAGCTGCTGGGATTACAGGTGTGCGCCACTGCATCCTACTTGAATAAATACATCTTTTATATATTGTTCTACAAATAGCTTTTAAAAAAAATGTAACAGTACATATAGGATATTTTCCCATTAAAGAAATGATAGACTGGGTGTGGTGGCACACGCCTGTAATCCCAGTGGCTCAGGATGCTGAGACAGAAGGATGGTGAGTTCACAGCCAGCCTCAGCAAAGCAACTCAGTGAGACCGTGTCTCTAAATAAAATACAAAATTGGGCTAGGGATGTGGCTCAGTGGTTGAGTTCAATCCCTGGTACCAAAAACAGTTAAAAAAGTGTTGTGGATCAGTCGTTAAGTGCCCCTGGTTCCAAAAATAAAATAAAATAAAAATAAAGATTAAAAAAATATAAAAAGGGCTGAGACACAGCTCAGTGGTAGAGCACCTGTGGCTTCAATTCCCAGTACCACAAAAATGGGAGGGGGAGGGGGAGGACTTGAGTAGCTCTCCTATAAATTTGCTTAAGAGATTTGGCAGATCTTCTCTGCCTTCGTTCAAATGTTGATTTAAATGTTAAGAATCAAGGTCAACAGAGGCACCTTCTTTGGTTTAATATTGACCCTTTACTCAACAATCAAGTTTTCTTTCTTTTTTTTTTTTGGTGCTGAGATTGAACCCAGGGCCTTGTGCATTTGAGGCAGGCCCTCTACCACTGAGCTATGTCCCCAGCCCTACAATCAAGTTTTCCATTGTGATTGTCTGGTAACAAATCCTTTTATCACGAAAGTCTGGCTTACAGTATCCCTGGGTTTCACAGGCCCGTCCTGAGAGACTTTATCAAGGGCCCCTCGAAAACAAGATGCCCTGTGTCTTTGCCATTGCCTGATCTACCGGGTACTGGCCCAGCTGGATACAGGAGAACACAGAAGGGAGATGCAAATGAGCAGCTACTACTGTGAGGGAGGAGGGTGGCTGAGAAGGCCTCCGGGGAGTCAGGTTGGATCTGTCCCTACAAAGGCTCCCTGAGTATTATTGGGTCCATCTGGACTGGTGCAGTGGTGTGCTAGCGCCAGCTCTGCCTGCCGGTGAGAGCAGATTGTGTGCGTCTCTCTCCAGCTCTGTGTTCAGTGACATCGTATTTGTAGTGTATGCTATGCCGTGATGGGAGTATTTATGTCAGAGCAAACACTCAGAGCAGGCCCTTCCACCTCTGCTGGTGTCCTTGAAGTTGGGACCCCAGGGCAGCCCAGTCCAGGCCTGCAGCCTTTTCCTTGAGGTACGGGGCGGGGTTGGTGCTCTCTGAGGGGAGGGCTGTCAGAGGACGGTAAGCTAGGAAGTCTCCCCTCTTCCTGTCTCAAGATCCCCCCATCTAACCTGCCCTTCCCTTTTAGGATGTGGGCTCCCTAGATGAGAAGATGAAGAGCTTGGATGTGAATCAGGACTCGGAGCTCAAGTTCAATGAGTACTGGAGACTGATTGGGGAGTTGGCCAAGGAAATCAGGAAGGAGAAGGCGCAGGAGATCCGGAAGAAGTAGAGCTGCTGGCCGGGATGGCGGTGGGGAGAGTAGGCCTGGCAGGGCCAGGAGAACCCCTCACTCCCCAAATAAACCTTCTCCCTCGAAACACACAGGTTTCTTTCTTTTTTCAAAATATTTTCTAGTTGTTGATGGACCTTTATTTTTTATTTATTTATATGTGGTGCTGAGGTTCGAACCCAGTGCCTCACACATGCTAGGCAAGCTCTGCCACTGAGCCCCAGCCCCAGCCCCTGGCACACGTTTCTTATTCACATCCTGTACTGATTTCCTCTCTTGAGGTAAGTGGGGTGGGAAAACTGCCCTGAGCAAGTCTGAAAATTATGAGCTCCTTGAATAAAGGGACCGTGAATTCATCTTCAGATATTCCACAGCGTCTAACATGAGGTCTTGTACTGATTAGGGGCTCAGTGAATAAATGGCTAGATTGGGCATTGTGGTGCACTTGGATTTGGGAGGCTAAGGCAGGAGGATTGCAGGTTCAAGGCCAGCCTGGTGAGGCCCTGTCTCAAAAGAGAAAATAAGAGGGACTGGGGATGTAGCTCAGGGGTACAGCACATCTGAATTCAATCCCCAGTCCAAAATAAAAATAAAAACCTAAGAAGTAAAAAAAATAGGTAAGTAGATAAGTGGTTGATGAATAAATATGTGAAAGATGCAGAGATCTGGTTTCTATCCTACCAGGTGTCTCCTGGGGCTCAGTTGCATAGTTATAACTCCAGTTTTCCCTATCCTATCCCTAGAGTTTGTCCCAGGATGATAATGACAGCAGCGAGCAGGTGTCACTGGCTTACGATATGTCAGGCAGAGGCTGAACATGTTACCTATAGTATTTTAGTTAATTTTCACAACTTTTTTTTTTGGTACTGGGGAGTGAACCCAGGGGCACTCAACCACTGAGCCACATCCCAGCCCTTTTTTGTATTTTTATTTAGAGACAGGGTCTCACTGAGTTGCTTAGGGCATCACTAAGGTGCTGAGGCTGGCTTTGAACTCACCATCCTCCTGCCTCAGCCTCCCGAGCTGCTGGGATCACAGGAGGGAGTCACCATGTCCAGCTAATTTTCACAACTTCCTTCCTTCCTTCCTTCCTTCCTTCCTTCCTTCCTTCCTTCCTTCCTTCCTCCCTCCCTCCCTCCCTCCCTTCCTTTCGCAGTATTAGGGATTGAGAGAGACATGGTCTCACTAAGTTGCCTAGGCTGGCTTCAAACCTGTGATCTTTCTACTTCAGCCTTCTGAATAGCTGGGACTTTAAGTGTGTACTACTACACCCCACGTGGTACGTAGTATTTTTAAGTCTTATATTCAAGATGAGGATATGAGCTTGGGTCCAGAGACTCGAGAGACTGAGGCAGGAGGATCCCAAGTTGGAGGCCAGCCTCAGCAACTTAGTGAGATCCTGTCTCCAAAAAAAAAACCACAAAAAAACAAAAAGAAAAAAAGGAGGCTGGGGATGTGGCTCAAGCGGTAGCGCGCTCGCCTGGCATGTACGGGGTGCTGGGTTCGATCCTCAGCACCACATAAAAATAAAATAAAGATGTGTCCACTGAAAACTAACAAATAAATAAATAAATAAATAAATATTAAAAATTCTCTCTCTCTCAAAAAAAAAAAAAAAAAAGAGAAAGGACTGGGACTCTACCTCAGTAGTAAAGGGTCCCAGTACCCCAAAAAAGGTGATGGATTTTTAGAGAGGTTAAATCACAAAGACAAGGACAAGCAGAACTGGGTTGACATTCCAGAGCCCCTGGTTTACCAGAGTCCTCCGTGGATAGGCACCGGGAACACTAGGCCTCAGATCCCAGCCTCCCTCCACAGCAGCGGGGACGCAGAGGAGGGACTAGTGAGGTAGGTCATGGGGTGCCGTGGTACTGAAGGAAGCAGAACTTTCCGACAGTGCTGCTGCCTTCCCTGTTTGCATTGGCTTGAGGGGCATGCGGTTTGCTTTACCGGCCACCAGAGAGAGCAGAGGCGGGCCAGTCAGCAGGACTGCCTCCTAGGGCTGCCACTGCTGTACCTGCAGGTGTCCATGTGGGGCAGCTAGTAGCCCAGAAAAACATTTAGGCTGAGACAAGCTCCTGATCATACACCCCAAAAAGAGGATCCCTGATGAAGACGTCACATCTAAGGAGCACCAGACGGAGACCTCAGAGACTTCCTGGCTGGAGGGGCCATTGGCAAAGACGTTCTATGAGGGACCTCACATGGACTCCTCAGGGAAGCTCTCAGATGGAGAGACCCTTGAAGGGGGTCCCTGAATCCAAGTCCTTTGGACACCCTTGTGGAAGGGCCTCGAGTTACAGAGCGCCCTAATCAAGACTGAAAGTTCAGGAGAAGTTGGCACAAAGAGGTTGGGAAAGGGACCCAGGCACTTTGGCTCTGAGTCCCACTCCATCTCTGCCCTGATCCACACCGAACCCACTGCCCTTTCTTGAATTCCCTCCCCACGACGTTAGGTTCCAGGCCTCTGAGCCTGGGGAGGTAAGGAGGGACATTTGGGTTGGGCTCAGTTCCCAGAAGTACAGTGAAGGCTCGCTGGGGTGACATCCTGGGTACTGGGTTAGAGGGCATGGGTTGCTATGGAGCTGGTGGGCTAGGAGGGCGTGGGATTCTGAGGGAGGGACGAACCTGCAGCCCAAGTAGTTTGGAGAGGTTGTGAGCTGCCATCTGGGCCCTGCATATTTGCACTCTGGGCTGCTGAGGGAGCTGACAGGAAGTCAGTCAATGCTCACTGTGGCTCTCTACCAGGCTCTGCCCCTCCTCCTCCTCGTCCTCCTCCTCCTCGTCCTTCTTCTTCTTCTTTTTTTTTTTTTTTTGGTGCTGGGGATTAAATCCAGGGGTACTTAACCACATCTGAAGCCCTATATTGTATTTATTTAGAGACAGGGTCTCATTGAGTTGCTTAGTGCCTTGCTTTTGCTGAGGCTGGCTTTGAACTGGGGATTCTCCTGTCTCAGCCTCCGGAGCTGCTGGGATTACAGGCCTGCGCCACAGCACCTGGCATCCCCAGTCCCTTTTAATACTTTATTTAGAGAGAGGGTCTCACAAAGTTGTTTAGGGTCTTGCTAAACTGCTGAGGTGGGCTTTGAATTCAAAATCCTCCTGCCTCAGCCTCCGGAGCTGCTGGGATCACAGGTGTGTGCATCACACCCGTCCTAGGCTGCTGATCTTCTTTGATTCTTCCTCCTGACCTTTCCATTCATGTCTCAGCCATCAGGATTGGGAATGGCTGGGCTCTGGGTCTGGGTAGGCTTGAGGGTCATTATCCTTATTGGCTTTGGTTGGGAAGTTGAGCGGAGAGAGAGGTATCTCAAAAGTACAGGGAGGGGGCTGGGGTTGTGGCTCAGAGGTAGGGCGCTCACCTCACTTACTTTGCACGTGGGGACTCTGGGTTCCATCCTCAGCACCACATTAAAATAAATGAGTGAAATGAGGCTATTGTGTCCAACTACAACTAAAATATAAATATTGAAAAATAAAAGTACAGGGAGGCCCCCTGCAGACCTTCGTTCTACAAACCTCAAATCAGCCCCTGCTTCTCTTTCTTCCCTAATGGAAACCTTTCTACTTTCTACTAATGGAGACCCCCTCGGTTCCTCGCAGTTCCCCCAGGTCATCCCACCTCCCTGGCGTGGCTCTCTAAGTCCCCCTTCCCTTCCTCCCCAACCTTCCTTCCCTCTCTCCCTGTGACTCTGCCTGCTGATCTGGGGCCAGGGGTGTCCCAGCCCCAGCCCTCCATGGCTCCCTCCTCGTGGCAGGGGTGGGGACTGGCTCTGGAGCTCTGGCCAATGGAGGGTGGGGCCCACACAGCTGGCTCCCAGCCCAGGCTGCTGCAAGAGCTGGGGTGGCTATGAGGCCCAG